TTAGACATGGGACCCACACCAAATTTATAATAGTTTATAATGACATTAAATAAACAAGTTCGGCGCAAACAGAATTTAAATTGAAGTTTGCGAAAAAAAGTTTGTTTTTCCTGTCGCCTTACCCGCCTCCAGGCCCCCCTATTTGAGATAATTCAAATTAAAGTGGTGCAATTTATTATCTACTATAATTTATCGACAAATTTAAAATTTTATTTAAAAAATCTAAATATTACAGATTTTTTTCTATTTTAAATTTTTATTATTTATTTTATTAAAATAAAAAAATATTTAAAATGGTATAAAACCTGTAATATTTGTATTTTTTAAATAAAATTTTAAATTTGTCGATAAATTATAGTAGATAATAAATTGCACCACTTTAATTTGAATTATCTTAAATAGGGGGGCCTGGAGGCGGGTGAGGCGACAGGAAAAACTAACTTTTTTTCGCAAACTTCAATTTAAATTCTGTTTGCGCCGAACTTGTCTATTTAATGTTGGTATACCCAAAATCCACCTGCCGCCACTGTGTTGAAATCCTTTTTTATAAAATATTCTATAAGCAAATTTTAGCTGATGTTTAATGGCCAGAGTTTTTGTTATATTAACCCTTGAACTTACAACATTAGCATTTAATTTTGATTCTCTGTGTTTAGACTCAAACCTTAGAGGAGATAAATTATTTCCTTTACTTTAAAGTTTAATATTAAACTTTAACCTAAGGCAAATTATTTTGATGCTTACCTTGAAATATTTCAATATATGAAGACAATCCCCATTCACTTAAATGCTTTTCAAAATTCATAATTATTATTATGAATATTACCTAATTCATTAATTAACCACGACACAAGCACGACACACCCGACCACTATTAAGATGACAAATGACCATTTTCCTCTGTTTCCGATGCCTCATCCCTTGTATAAGCCAATCAAAACGCATATAGCCACCTGCAGTGCGATCATAAAAAACTCTTTAATATGCCGCTATTGAGGGTTAATATGCGTTTATTGATGTTTAATAAAAACTTTTATTTTAATAATTATGTTTATTTATCAACAATAAACTGTTTATTGTTGAATAATATTTATTATATTAAAACTTATACAGTATAGAGTTTATTAAAGACAAATAGGTTTATTATTTACGATAAATAAAGATATTTCAAGTATATTTTTTTATTAATCAGTATTATAAAAGGATATTTATGATAAATAGACTTTTAATAACCACTAATATATTTTTGCTTAGTAAACTGTTTATTAAGAACTGTTTTCTCAGTGTATTAGGAAGGTAGAAAAACTATCTTATCATCTTTATTAAAGGCCATAGCGGATGAAGGCATGTTATTATCACATAAATATTTATTACACAAATTACTGTTTCTAGCATTTTAAGGAATTTAAACTCTAAAACATGTGTTTAAACTTAAGAGTGGAATTATTTAATATCCATATTACTAGCCGAATAAAACTCGTTTAATATCATACAATTAACGAAAAATCATTGAATAATTCAACAAATTAAATTATTATTTCAAGAGTTTAAAACCATTCGGTAGCATTTTGTGGACCGACAAAAATTTAAATTATACACTACAATGTTTAATTTTTTTTCAAATCAATTCCTATTAATTTATGTTTTATAAAATTTAAATTATAGATAGGCACCTAGTTAGTTTTGAAGAAATTTTTCAGTAGCTTGTTTAAAAAGCATTATAATTTAGGGCAGATAGGTAGCTATTTCGTGTTAAAAATAATTTGATGAAACAATTAAAAAAATAAAGAAAGTTTCTATTAGAAACAGAAAAAACATAGTGCATAATCAGCTGCGTGGTTTTATTTTTAACACATAAATAAAATGTATTAGGTATTTAATAATTATATGAGTAATAATTACTAATTATTAATAAAGACTATTTATTATTTTATATTTCCTTATTAAGCTAGGTTCCAAACCAATTTAGAAGATCAATTACCTGTCAGCTGTTCTTTAGGTTACCGGCACTGACAGTTGCCAAAAGTTTACCACGTTTTTAGTGAAATAATTTCGTGTACAACTCATTGCAACGATCAAAAGTAAGTAAGAACAGTTATTTATGAATTAATTATTAAAACGTTATTATAAACCAGCCTTTAAAACTCTTATCAAGCCTTTACAATTGCTTAAAACCTCACCATATGAGTTTTGAGGTTATATTTACTATTTACTTTATTTGTGGCTTCAGTTTACGCAATAGAGTCGAATTGTAGGTACTGTAATCTGGAGAAGGTATTGTTTTATGTTACCACTTACTTATTTTCGTAGTTTTAATCATATTTATCGAATAAATCACTATAATCGTGGGGTATTAAAAAAATTACTATCAGCGCCATCTGTCCTCAAATAGGCGAACGCTTAGCACGGCACACTTGGCTTCTAAAATATAAAGCGCGCGCGATTCAAATATTCCCAGCCTCCTACGTTTGTGTGTAATGCTTTAATATAAAGCATTTTGTTTTTATTGTAGCTGTAGGGCTTTCTTTAAAAATTATTTCTGCAAATTTACGATAAATTCGAAATTGTACGTTGCGACTTATTATTAGCAACGTTCCTTTTTACGAAAAAAATGTGCATTGTAATTTCAGTATCAGATTGAAAATTGCTATTTGGTGGAAAATTAAGTTGCAGTTCGGATAATGTCCGTCATTATTTCTGTGTGTGCAGGGCTGTAATTTGAATATGATAAAACATTTTGGCTGGCTTGAAAAGCGCACTTTTAAAATAATTTTTGCAAAATATGGGTTAAAGTTAGTTTATGCTTTAACTACATGTGTACCTAATTTTTAACAACAAGTAATACCCACATACGCACAAAAAGTAATATAGTAAAAAGTTTTATTAAAAAAAAACATGACCATATGGGCAAAAACTATTTTAGTCTAAATTAAAATTAAGAAGAATTAAATACAAATACTGTTATAAATCAACTAATAAATTGTTGAATTAATACAATTTATTTAAAAATATACAGGAAGATTTATTAATATTGCGAACAAAAATTGTTCTAATTTATATGCCAAAAATTATAAAATGTTTGAAGAAAAAAATTAAATACCAATAATAATTATTAAGGTTTGATTAAAAATTTTAACATATCTAAAGCTTTTAAAAATTTTGGATTTTTTTTAAATTTAGGAAATTTGTCCTTTTATTTTTTAAATGTATACTGAGACAATTTTTTTCACTATGTTTTATGTTTGAACTACTTTGCGAATGCAATTTTAAAATTTATATATGCAAGGGCAGTTTTTAATTATCCAATTTTGTTTGAATTCGGGCAGTTTTCAATCACCTGAAACATAAATTTTAATGTGACTTATTTTGCTTCTATTAAATTAAAATAATGTTTAATTTATAATATAGTATTAATAAATAATTATTATTAATTTATTATTGATTATGATAATTCAGATTGTACCTATTTATTTATGCCAGTGGCGTCTCGAAAGCATCTCAACTATTTTTTAAGAAGATATGGTACACCACTGCTACTCATATGTTTTGATATTTGTTCCAGATAAAACAATTAAAAATAAAACTTTTTTGTTTTTTACTGTTTTTTCAAAAATACTTCGCTTTAGAGAAAAACAAATTTCTTTTTAAACTTGTGAAGGAAGTGAAAAATACACACATGCTAAATATATATTTTTTAATGAAAAAAACAACATGTTTATCTCCACGCGGTCCATAATTTAAACTTTATTGTTGTCAACATTCGATAAAGAAATACCTTGTTATGGCCTAAGCCGATAAAAAATTTTATGAGGCAAGTAATTAGTTCGATTTTTTCTCGCTAGCGGTATTGTTTTGACAAATTAATCCTTTTCTAAGAAATTAACGTACTAAACTGGTTTAATTTATTTATAATAAGCACTAATTTGTTTGTTTTGCTGTTAATGTTTAATATTTTTCATTAAATTATTGTAAAATTAAATATGAATAATAAAACAAAAAGTGAGGCTAGGCAACCAAGAAAACGCACGATTCTTTTTCTACGATTTTTTTAATTTGCTTTAAGTTTTCAGTGAAATTAAATGTTAAACACAGCTTAAACATTCCAAACTACCTATTTTTTAAATAAAAATTTAAACAAATTAAAATTAGATACTTACCTATTTATTAAAGAATTTATTGAATTCAATGTAATAGCAAAAATCCATTTCTACTTAAATCATGTTGCTAGGTATTGTCAAACTATTACTGCTTCTAAAAGCAATAATAATTATTGTACATTTAATGTAATCTTTAGCTAGTTAATAAATGAGATTCTAAAAAAGTGAGGTTAGGCCGCTTTGATGTTGAATTAAATTGACCTATATAAAGTGCTTTGAAGATAAAATGTTGTATGCCATTCGGTCAAGAAATGCCTTTTTGTGCTTCGCTCAATTGACCTTGAGCTTAGCACAAAAAGCCTTACTTCTTAACCTAATGACATAAATATTATTACTAAAAAGTTTATATACAAAGTGAGTTATATTGTTTTTGCCAAATCAAATATGTTTTTATAAAAAATAGCGATGCAGTACAGTATTCCGAAAATTAGTTAATAGAATGTTTGTTTCTTATTTTCAACAAGAAATCATCCTAAATTTGTTCGCAATATTCATGAATCAAATATGCAAAAAAATGTTTTCCTTTTTTATTTAAAATAAAATAATTGTAGTTGTTTCATAAAAATATTTTTTCTAAAGATTAATCAATGCCTAAAATTCCCTGTTTTTTTTTAATAATTGATTATTAAACAATTTCTGTAAACAAATACTTATAGTTTAATTTTTTCTTTTTAATTATTTTTAGATGCCCCCCAAAAAGGTTGCAGAACCCGAAAGGAAGCCTCTGATTGGCCGCGTAGGTACCAACTTGAGGGTCGGTATCGTTGGAGTGCCCAACGTCGGAAAATCCACTTTTTTCAACGTTTTGACGAAAAGTTCGGCTGCTGCGGAAAATTTTCCCTTCTGCACAATCGATCCAAATGAAAATAAGTATTTTTTATTATTTTTTTACCCTCTTTTATCTACGACTCATATATAAAAATGTCATTATCATAACTCAATCATTCTAAAAATGTCAAAGTCACAATGTAAAATCGACATAGAAAAAGCGGAATTCTCGGTTGAAGACGACCTAAATTACGAAAGCAATCCTTCAATAATATCATTAAAAAAGCACCTAAGTAAACTAAGAAACTATAAAGAACCCCAAACAGAACAAACGGAATCATACGACAACCAATGGTATCCATACTGCAACACCTATTATCCATATACAGAAGACGTGGATGCATTCGCAAGAGTAAACCATTTACTAGCCCAAAAACCGTCGATTTTGTCGCTAAATTTATCGGAACACGATGATTTAAGCTTGTTTGGGCATTATTCCGAGCACGATGTTCATAAACGCTACTTACTCTCGCATCCGTTAAATTTCGTTATTCTTGGTAAGCCTGATATTGGCCAGAACGAGCTGGGAAAACTATTGGCGCAGCACTGGAATTGCGTTTATATCGATCCAGAAATTCTCATAGGGCAAGAAATAGAGAGCGGCTCCAGAGCTGGGCAATGCATCGAGTTCAATTTAAGATGTGGACGTGCTATTGGTATTGACGTCATACTCAAATTACTAGAAAAACGATTAAAGACCCAAACTGTGCAACATCGAGGCTTCGTGCTTTGTGGTCTCCCAGTTATACCGAATGATTTATATAAGGAAGATCCCATATCGTCTGAAACAGCTGTGTTCACAGTGCGAGACATCTTCGAAGAACTGTTAGATGCCACCGTTGAAATTGGCGTGCCTCCAACAAAACCACACGTATCCATATCATCGAAGGTTAAAATTGACGATGTTGAGGGCGAGGAAGATATGGGAGATGAAAGAATGGGCGAAGGTGAGGAGGTAGCCTCCACCGTAGTACTAGACGATTCCCCACGCACCAAACCTCCTAGTGAACCCCCAGACATCGGCTCAGCCTCGTACAACATATGCGAAGAACCTGAAATAAGCACTGACTATGAAGAACAACTAAACTTTATCTTTAACTTAATACAAGAACCATATTTAATAATCTACATAATGTGCCCAACTGCAGACGTTATTACAAAACGAAAAGAATCGAAATTCCACATATACACCGAAGAATTTTACGACATTCTACGCGATAAAGTCAGCAGGATGATCTTTAAAATGTACGCGGCTGATATACCTCCAGAAGTTTTAAAAAACAGCCAATATCAAATCGGAAAGGATATAATTCATCTTACTGTACCACCCTACAACTTACCGGCACATGTACAAAGTCAATTGGACAACTACCACTTTGCTGCAGTGTCTGCTATTGAACGTAGAGTCTTATTACACAACCCCGAACATTATTTAAGGCTTGACGGTAGAGTTTTTCCCAGGAAAATGTTTAATATTGTGAAATCGCGTCTTGAAATGCTACCATTCTCGAAATCATTAATCCCGAGGCGTCTAACATTGAACTACAATGAAGACGCTCAAATAGGTGAAGGTGATGAAGAGGAACCCTTCAAGCAAGAAACCAACCTGGAGGGTATATCATTGGAAGAAGCATTCACTAGATTAAAGAAACGTGAAGCCCCCATGGGGCCTTACAAGTGGTCCCTATCAGATTGGGGCACCCTCTGCCCTGTATCTGTAAAAGAAGGAAGCTTTACCCACGGCGATGCAAACTTTGCTGTGCAATTCATGAACAAAATATTCTTCCTACGGGACGAAGAAGCCTTCTTTAAATTCTACAAAAACCCACGTCCGTATTTAGTATGCCCTTTTCCCAAAAGTAGCTGTAGAATATACATATTCGGCGCTAGATGTACTGGAAAAACCGAAGTCGCAAAATGCATGTCATACTTCTTGAACGGTACAGTTTTAAACAAAAACATCATGCAGCATAAATACTTTTTAGAGCAGTTGGATAGCTATAAGGAACATGTTTACCAAGCAGCGTTGGCAGATGGTATAAAACTTCTAGACGAAAAACGAACGGCTTTGGTTTTGGAACAAAACGAAAACAGACTTAAACACCTACAAAAATGGAAAGATTCCGTACGAGAAGAGTTAAGCGGTTACATTGCCTTATTAGAACAGGCAGAAAAAGAGAAAGAAGAATTAGAACTATCCCCATTTCCAATGCAGATGGAAACGGATATTGGTAACAAATATTCCGAACAAATGAGCACCTTTAAAAAATCCATCGCTAAATTAAAAATACCTACTGAAGAAAGCTCAAAATTCTACAGAGATGCTTTAAATAATGAAGACAGTCAGATGCAATATTGCCCTCAAAATCTAAAAACCGAAATCACCGCTAAACCTGCCACAGTGTTTGACAGATTCGTCGTACAGTACGCCCAAGAAATACTCAAAAGAACCAACTTTGAACAGTTAGCTCCGTTTGAGGACGATAAAAAAAACATGTACGTCGATAGCATAAGGGAAGTGGAGGACTTACGGGTATCTCAAGGTAGCTCCAAAGGTGGCTGGGTAATAGACGACATGCCTGCAGACCTGGAATTCCTCAGAGACATGGAGGAAGACATTTTACCAGACGATGTCTTCATTTTGAACCCCTCGGGGTACATACCCTTTGAAGAATTCAAGCTGAGAAACGCAAGAGTCTTCACCGAGTTCAGAAAGCTATTTTTGGAGTTAGGCAATGTGGATGCAGCTTGGAGATGTCCTGATAGATCCACCACATCCATGAAAGATATATTCGCCAAAGATTTAATAGATTACATGGTTGATAACATTGAAATGGCCGGCGAGGATGGGATCAACGAAGAACCCATGGTTGATTTGTACGAAAAATACAAACAAAGCGTCGATGACTACAAACCGCGTTTACATGAAATTAAAGAATACTTCATGAGCAAAAACATAACACCCATAGAAATCGATTCGACAAAATCCGACATGAAAACAATTCTAGTAGAGCTAATGAACGATATAGAGGATGTAGTCAAAGCTAAAGCCACTCAATATACAAACGAAGATAGAGCCGAAGAAGTATTTTATTTTGGTTCTGAAGCTGTGCAAGACGAAATGGGTGAAGGTGCTGGACCAACTGATAACACTAACGCTATAGAGCAAAACAGACGTTACGGCGATACGTCGTTCTACTGCCCGGTGACGTATAAAGAATACAACGTACTATGGCGAGGTAAAGAAGATTATGCTGCAAAGTTTGAGGAAAAAGTCTACTTGCTAGCTAATGAAGAGTACTTGGAAAAATTTCTAACACATCCTAGATCATACTCGTCTTTCAGCAAATTTGTAACAACGTATCCACCATTAAGAATATGTATCATAGGTATAGATTGGACTTTAACAAACCTTTGTTTGTCCGCTATCGCATCAAACTTGGCTTTACTCCCAGCAAGTTACCAAAACTGTCTAAAGAGCGCTCTGAATGTCCAAACCGATGATAGCTTCAGAGAATTACGGCATAACCCGAACTTTTCTGGAAATCCCATACATGCTTATATAGTGAACAATCAACCAATCGAAGACGAAACAATGGTAAAAGTATTAAACCAATTTTGGCAAAACCACCCGTTTACACAATGTGGATTTGTTATAGAGGATTTCCCAAAAAGAACTCCGGATGTAGCCATCATGACAAAGTATAAATATATACCAGATGCAATAATAAATTTGACAGGCGATGAATATAAATATCGCCTTAGAATTGTCGATCTAATTACGACGACGTTTAAAGAAAACCAGCAAAAATTAGAGGAGGAAGTCGCCCATAACAATAACACGACTATGGAAACCTGGACATACCTCAGAGGGCAAAGATTCGAAGAACTGATGGAGGAAAAAGTACAGCAAAGATACGCAAATAAATTAGATGAAAACGAAGATACAAAAAGTCAAGTGAGCTACGACTCGGTAGCAGAACAGGAAGATGTAAACGCGATAAACGAAGTTTTGGATGTTGAATTCCCAGAACCAGTTATGGAAACAATACCAGATTCCTATAAAGATCTAATTGATAATTTAGAGAATATTGGTAACGAATATTTTACCGAAGAGTGGGAGCATATTTCCGTCTTGAGAGAGTTGTGCGAAGCAGAGAATGTACACTGGGTGGATGTTAATATAAACTTCGATAAACCCGCAAACACGAAGTTGGCTGTGTTAAGGGAGACTAATAAGTTGACGGAAAAGAGACAGTGCATTTTTGAGAGGTGTTACGATCTTTCTCTTGAACAAGCAAATGATTTGGTGGATTGTGGTTATTGCTTTTTGAGCAAGTTCGGTAAAACATGTCCTGTGCAATATTATATCGGTGAAAACCCCGTACAAATGTATCATGCTGAAAAAAGGTTGGACAATCTATTTGCTGTTTTACATCGATCCTACATTTACTATATTTGTGGTAAAGAAAGCCTAAATTTATTTAAAGAAGCCCCTTTAAAATACTTAAATAAAGACTTTAATTTCCCCTTGATAACCTTTAAGATCGCTGTAATGGGGCCAGTAGATTCTGGCAAAACAACTTTATCTGAAAGACTAGCACAACAATTCTGCTTCAAATACATCACCAGAGGCAGAGCACTTAGACACGTTCTATCCTTCATGCCTTACACTGAACTGGCCAAAAACATCGAATCCGTATTGCGTAAAGGTTGGGAGGTCACCGATGAAATGGTCATTAAAGCCGTGGAAGCGGTTGGTATAGGCACCAAAAGCGTTTGTCATGGTGTAATAATGGATGGTTTTCCCAACACCATCAACGAAATGCGACACATGTGGTTTAATGGTTTAATACCGCATTTAATAGTCGACTTGCAAGCCGATGAAGAAAAAGTATTGAGCTGCCCGAAATCGACAGTGGAACCTTTGTACAGCAGTCGTTTAATAAAACATATGTTGCGTGAGTGGAATTCAGTCGCGAATTGTTTTAGACGGTGGGTTGATAAAGAGTTTCAGATTAGGGGTAAAATGTCAACGTTGAATAAGTGGACTGCGTTTAAAAGCTCACTGGAGTTGATCATGGCTTGTTGTTCTGAAGTTAAACATTACTACAAACACATTAAAGATGATTGGCCTCTAAGGGTTTCCAACATGGCTGTTAGTCATGCAGAGTTTCTGGAAAGACAGAGTAACTACAAGGAATATTGCCCAGTTTGTCTTTCTTTCAACGAGCTATGTAATGGAGGTTTCCCCCCAGACAGAACAGGTTTGGTTCATTACAAACACCACTTTTACTGGCTGTGTCCAGACCACATAGAATTATTCTTAAAATGCCCAGAATGTTATTTTTCTCCATACAACGAACACAGCTTGCCTGACGACCTCCCAATCAGAGTTAATATACACAAAAAACCTGACAATTTATACTGTGATGGTTACTGCGTTGTATGTCCTAGAAATGTCGAAGGTTCATTACAATTCGCTGTATCATATAGAGACTTAATCTACCTATTCGACTCTGAGGAATGCTTACAAAAATTCATGCGCAAACCCATAGATTTTGCCTTTATAGACAAAGTAAAAGTTAAACACGACTATCCCTTACTAAACTACGAAGATTTACCTATATTAGGAATGCTAGAACAATATGTAGCCACACAGTTAACCAAAGCTGTGTGCCACATAAACAGGTTAAGACCTGTTGTGCCAGGTTTAAGCATTGAGGCTTCAGCTGCAATATGTATAGGAGTTTTCTTGAAAAAAGAAAACGAATTAGACATCGATTGCATCGATAACCACACCAAAGGTTACGAGATGTTTTACACAAGAGTTCACAAGTTGGAAGACAATCTAAAAAAGATGAAATCCATTATAAACCCATACCTATATTACGAAGAAACAATCCCTCCATTTGAAATACCGAAAACGCCTGTATCTGTCACAAGAAGTATATCAAGTGTTAGTACTGTGGTTGCGGGTTTACTAGATGAGATTCTAAACCAAATTGACTATGATAAAGAACTGACATTTATGTAATTTTAATAATATATGTTTTTTAAGTTACGTGTTTTAACTTTTTGGAAGTTATCATGTTCGTTTGTTTCAGCAAGTAGGGTACCAGTGCCTGATGAACGTTTTGACTATCTGTGCGAGTATTTCAAACCTGCTAGGTAAGTTTAAAATGGTATACGTAGTTTTTTTTGTAAGAAGAATTTAATCATCCCTTATTTTTGATGGCGTGTCAACTTTGGACTACCTATCGTTCTAAAAGGTCTGTTTATCAGCAGCTAAAACGCTTTTCAATTATTTAACTGGCAGCCTTGCCCTCAGCGTATCACGAATATCAATCTCTGCGAGACATTAAATTGATTTCCTAATTTCTGTGCTTCGGCTAAGTCTCGCTAAGTGGGGGCTATTATAAGGCTAAACAACAAAGACACGTTGCGGTAATGTCAGTGTGGAAAATGAGATCGTTTAATGCCAACTGTAATTTTGCATCGGCCGAATAGGTATTGTGTGTGATACTAGGCTATTACGACGTTTAGAGATTTATATTTACAAAAAAAAAGGTTTTAGATAATAGATAGGAGGAATATATCATTAATTTTATTGTATTTTTAAATAGAAATTGACAAAAAAATGCATTGATTCATTTACTAATTCATTTAGTTATGCCTGCCAAAAAGGAAATGGTCCTTAAACGAAATGTGCAAACATTTTAAATGACTTTCGGCGAGATTAAAATCCAATTAAGGGTCGTCAGAATGTTTTCGTAATTTGTGCATTCTGACCAGAGTGGTCAAATATTTTATTTCCGTCACTAATCGACATTTAATTACGCAAATAGTTTATTATGTATTTTAGTAACAAATTTAATTTGCGAGCGAGTGCCTAATTAAATGAGTGTCTAGAAAAGTTTATAATGACTTCATTGTAACACTGCTTTCGGTGCTGGAATGAGGTACTTTACTCCACCCAAAATTTTGATTTTATAGGTTGGCTACTTTAAACAGCATACTAGTAAAATAATATTTTGCATATTGGTTATAATATTTTTATGATTTTTTTAGTAAATACGAGACTTTTCTGGAAATAAATTATGTTTAACACCAAAGAAAATCCTTTTTTTCTTCTTTAACATTAACAGCCGCTTATTGTAAATAAGTAAATTAAGGACGGCATGGCGAATCGATTTTGACATTAACCCTTCAAACCAATGACTGATACCAACTATCTTAAGTAAAATTCGACCAAATTAAATATAAGGTATAAAATTATTTTTTTTTATAGAATTTTTGAATAAGACCTTTTGTCGCACTCGTGTGACAAAATGACGTCTTATGACATTAGTTTTTTCAAACATTGGCGTCAAGAAACTATTTAATACTTTTGTATTTATGTATTGAGATAATAAAATAATTTTCACATTTAGTATTATTTTACAAGAAAGGCACATTTTTTAACGATTGTATGACATTTGACAACTGTAACTAACTTAAAACTAACTTCAGCCCTTGACTAAAGCGCCATAAAGCCAAAACCTGTCAATGTGTATTTAAAAGATCACTTAGTGTCATGAAAACATGTACGATAATGGGCTTTTTAAAGGTGGGAGTAGAAAATATTAATTATAGCCATATTAAAAATTTTAATAAGACTATATCAATGGGGTAGTTAAATTTTTTCTGACCTATACTTTTTATGGTTTTATTCAAGGCGTTTTGTAATATTAAACATTTCTGTGAAATCAGAATTTCAAATGAGTTTACCGTTTTCGAGATATTTACAAAAAATATACATTTTTATGACGTCACAAACCTCGCCATGTGACCAACATTCTAAGATTTCTATTGGTTGAAAATTACCCTGTTGTCAAGTTGTCTTGTTAATGATTTCATTCGGTTATGTCAGAAAATACCCGAAGAGGTTATGTACAAATACTGTCACTGTCAGTTGAGTGAAAGATGGTCACCAAATTCATTAAGTACCTATTTTCCTTATTACGAGGTATCATATTACTGTTTGATATTTTTGAGTCCAAGATATATCTAAAAGAATATAAAGAACTAGGCATTATACTAATGAAATGCATTTACGACAAAATATGATTATAATTATAGGTATTTACTTTATTTGTTTAAAAGCTCCAATGTTCAATGTAACCAACCATTCCACAAGATTCCTCTGCTTTGGAGTCCGTTATTAATAAATCACTTATCTAATATCAATTACAAATAACATAACAATAACATTGATTTTCAATAATCTAAATTAAAAAAGAAACGTCAAAAAATCAATTCTTCTTCTTCTTCTCAACTAAAATTTTAGATCAAGTAGTTTTAAAACTAAAATATTATAACGTGGCGCCATCTATCGTAAGAATCTTAAACTAAACACCATAGAAAAAGCTGGCAACGTTGTCAATAGCCTAGTGACGTAATTATGAGACTTTTTTTTGTAAATATCTCGAAAACGGTAAACTTAATTAAAATTCCGATTTCACAAAGATGTTTAAAATTACAAAACGCCTTGAATAAAACCATAAAAAGTATAGGTCAGAAAAAATTTAACTACCCCATTGTATGATTAAATAAAATTGCATTTTTTAATTAAAAAATGGGTGGTCATGTTGCGAATGACGTTAGTGCATCGGCCAATAGGAGAAGTCCATTTTGTCGAAGTCCCTCGCTCTTTAACACGCAACGTCGCGACGCGTCATAATTAAACGCCGGTTTCATTTCGTATAACTACGCTGCATGGGGCAGTTTTACAACCATCATAAAAATCTTCGTCAGAGTTTGTAAACATTAAAATATGTTTAAATGGTCATAGAAACTGTTTAAAATATGCTAAAAACAGTATTGGAACTGACCCTATACGCTAAAGAAGTATCGCTAGTAGCGCCACCACTCGGCTGTTATCAGCGTAACAAAAGTAAAACTTTTAATAATCAGCGCCTATGTTACAAACGATTGTTTTTAAGAATAAAGCCGGAAAATGTTAAAAAATATCGGAAAAAAACCGTGGCTCGATTGTTGGGTTGTTGGGTGTATTTCGAGAGGAAATCCTGGGTTGAGTTTTTACCGGTTTTCCAATAAACAGTGTTAATCTGAATGAAGAAATAAATTGCATGCAGTCTCTGTAAATATAAATTGTACCTTAGATACCATAAATACACATTTTAGTAGTGATTAACGTGAAAAGTGTAAACATTTCAATTCAGTAAACAAATAAGTTGTCTAAATTTAAACGGCATTTAGCAATATTAAAAGCGTTGATTAAGAAAGTCTCCACTCAACGGTAAAATACCATTATATTATGTATTATATATAATATTATGTTGCCATGAATTCGTAGGTATATTTTGTTGTATAAAATGCAGTTGTCGGCGTTTTTTAGAGAACTCAAATATAAAAATGGTTGATTTTAAGGTTATGTTTGTGCAAAGATTATTTTTTACTAATTTCTTAAAAATGTCAAAACTTAAATATAAATTAAACAAATGTACTTACCGAATTGGATCCTTTGGCAAAACATGAAAATGCAACGATTTAGTTCTTGAATTTTATTTACAATTAAAAATACAATAATGATCCCTTAGATAAAATACACACACGAACGTAATCATATAAGCATTTAAGCGTTGAGTGTCTTAATCAATGATATAAGGAATAATCAATCAAAATCGAGTACTAAAAAAGTTTTTTAATTTTTTCCTTGCAACGTATACACAAATAACGTGCGCGATTTAGCTGTGCAATTGAACAAAATTTGTCGAGTAAGACTTCTGCCTTCCTCTCTTTTGTGAAAAAACTACCTATTTATTTAAAAATGATGTATAATCTGTGCTTTAAATGTATTGTTGACAATTCTTAAATTCACGCAATGCTATCGAAATTCACCAGATGCAAAAACCCGATACTTTGAAAAAAAATTATATCAAATAAGAGAATTTAACTTAATTTTTTCATAGCTATGATTTTGTTACCAAAGTTTTCGCTAAAAATGTAGTTTAATTTTGGACTTTGCAATGTGAAATTAAATGCATCCCTCTGGTCAGCCTTGTCATTTGTGGTGCAATTTGGCCGTTTGAAAGCGCTGGCAAAGTTAAAATGATGAAAACGATCCATAATAATAGAAATCCCTGGGATAAATGAGACAAATTGGACCGTACCGTGTGGCCACTCTATAATTTGTCGCGATTCGCCAATTTATTTTGCACCGGGGGCCCGATCTGGACCAACCCCCCACCCCCACTCCAAAACCACTTAGTTGTCGAAGCCATATTGTGCGCAATTTTCGGCGGCTACTCCACAGTCGGAAATTACACCTATTTAATTAGGGTTATTGTCAATAATAGTTATTTTAAAATTGTACAAAATATTGCTATCCGTTAATATCTATATTGTAATTTAGACAAATTTAATTCTAAATAACTAACACAGTGCAACAAAAAATTTTAAACCAGATTTAATTGTTTTTTCTACTTTTTTTACTAATTAAAAGTACAATAAGAATTATAATGTAAATTAATTAAATTTCCTTCCGTAAAAAAAATTGTCGAACCAAATTCCTTTATTTTTTCTCCCTACTTTTTACATTTTATTTTCCCCCTTATTTTTAAGTATCTCTAAAATTTTTGATCTGCTTAGCTGAAAATATTGTGTAATGTAATATTTATAAAACCAAATTCGTTATTTTTTTACTCCAAAAATGTCCATAAGGCGATGTACTTTTTCTTCCATTGTGACACAAATGTCACAATGGAAGAAAAAGTACATCGCCTTATGGACATAATGTCATCAAAGTCCTTATGACATTTTTTCTGAAAAAGTAGAAAAAAAAAGATGCAAAAACAATTTTTCCTAACTAATTCGACCACGCTGATTCCAAAAATTCAAACCGCACTTTCGTATCTCTTCCCGTTCGGAAGTTACACTCGAAAATCGCGATATTTTTCTCAAAAGGGTCCCCCCTTATGACATTTCTTCTGAAAAAGTAGAAAAAAAAAGTTGCAAAAAAAATTTTTCCTGACT